TTAAATTTGTGTCTACGTATATACTATGATTAATTTATCCTTTATACAATTATATTATCATAGTTAATATAGAAGTTTAGGTAGACATATAATAATTCTAAGCACTCAGCAAGCAATCTCTTAACAAGATTAAAGGTAGTTTTTATTTAGCTGTTGTGTTTTTAACTTTAAAAAAGGAGGATTGTTTATAAATTAAAGAAACTACTGCCTCGTCAATTTTCAAATATCCTTGAGTCATACTTAACACAAAGAATGTTTAGGGTACGACAAGAAGATGATTATTCAGAACTGAAAGAAATAAAAGCTGGGGTGCCGCAAGGGAGTGTATTAGGTCCGGTCCTGTATCTTTTATACACATGCGATATTCCTGAATTAGAAGATAACGTAATCGCTACCTTTGCCGATGATACTGCTATCATGTCTACGGCAGATACTGAAAAGGAAGCGGTAGTAAAACTACAAAAAGCCATAAATACTGTTGGCTTGTGGACCAAAAAATGGCGGATACGATTAAATCAGTCTAAATCAGTTCACATAAACTTTACCAACAAAACATCAAATTACCAGCCAGTATATATTGATAACGTCAAAGTGCCGTTCCAAAATTCAGCTAAGTACCTAGGTATGACGCTGGATACCAAACTCCGATGGAAGGTCCATGTTAAAAAGAAGCGTGAAGAGTTGGATCTCCGTTACACTAAATTGTACTGGTTGCTCGGAAGGCATTCCGCGCTATCAGTTCAAAATAAATTATTGATTTACAAACAAGTCCTGACACCTGTATGGACTTATGGTTGCCAGCTGTGGGGCTGTACCAGTAATAGTAACATCCAAGTAATCCAACGATTCCAAAACAAAGTGCTCAGGGGAATAGTCAATGCTCCCTGGTATATTCGCAATAACGACCTCCATCGGGACCTTAATGTAGAGGACGTCGCCACAGTAATAAAAAAGACTGCCGGAGCCCACGAACTTAGGCTCCACCATCACGTGAATGTCGAGGCTATTCAACTCCTTGACACCACGGGCCTAGTGAGAAGATTGAAAAGGACAAAACCGTTTGAACTAGTGAATTAGTGTTAGTGCACGTTAGTATTAAGTGCTAAACAGTGATTGAAAAAAATAGAACACAAGAACAAAGTGTCTTCCCTTTAATAGAGACTGTAAGTAGTGTTATTGGACACTTTCTTATGTTAAATATCCTTTGTAATAAATTAGGTTAGACTTAAATTACTTATTAGTCTTAAGTTAGGCTAGATTGTAATGTTCCATGATGTCTTAGTAAAGACACATGTATATAAAAAAAAAAAAAAAAAAAAAAGGAGGAGGTTTTTCAATTCGACCGAATATTTTTTTATTCACGTATAACTGATTTTGATGTTTCTTTTTTGAATCAGGATCCAGAAACCAGGAAATTAGGATGGCATCGTAGAGAAATCAAGGAGAAAAAATTATCTAATGATTGTCGGTGTTTTTGCTAAAAATTATTTAGTTTTTAAGCTTTACATTACATGGTTACATTACCTTTATAAACCAAGAAATCATTTTATTAAGAGCTCCTTAACAGCTCAGTAAAATAATACTTAATAATAATAGAAATATTGTTATATTGCTTTTAAACCGCCGCGCCGCCGTGCCTTATTCACAGCTTTACTTGACTCGAGGGTTCTGGTTTGTGGTCAAAGATCAAAGGTCAACATTCACGGATATAAGTAAATCAAGACGGCTTAATTAAATGTTTTGTTCTGTTTACCCAAATCTTTAAAAGCACTAAACAGAGTTTTTGGGACATAAGGAAGCTTCAACGACCTTTATGAAACAATAGGATGAACAGCCAGATAGATAGATATGTGGCTTAATATAAAATAAATAAATCAGTGGCGCTACAACCTCTTTAGGTCTTGGCCTCAGATTTCTGAATCTGTTTCATGATCATTTTTAAATCTTTTAGGCAAGTAGGTGATCAGCCTCCAGTGCCTGACACACGCTGTCGACTTTTTGGGTCTAAGACATGTCGGTTTCCTCGCGATGTTTTCCGTCAACGATCAAGCAAATGTTAAATGCGCACATAGAAACAAAGTCCATTGGTGCAAGCCGGGGATCGAACCTACGACCTAAGGGATGAGAGTCGCATGCTGAAGTCACTAGGCCAACAATGCTCACTGTAAATGGGTAAATGGTAAAAACATGGGTCAATATATCGTCATTAAAATTTCATAATGACGAAGATGACCTTGATACATCAAACAAACTTAGGTTATAGGCACAACATTTCAAACGTTAAACAGGCGGTAGGTAAGCAACTTAATTTGCTGATAAAGCCTACCTACCTACTCGTAGGAATTAACAGACACCAAAATACAATTCGAAACCACATTCAAAGTCACACAAACATCTAGCTGGTATCGTTTGCAAAACGTGTCAAAGGAGCTATGTAAACGTATTGTGAATAAAGAGTGTTGATATTCCTCTATCTGAACGATGCATTCTATATTTTTAAAGTAAACATTGTGAGAATATGTCGAGAAATTTATTCCTGATTTCGTTTGTTACTACTACGTGAAATATTGGCGGTCAACACAGCTCCGTCATGTAACTATTGAACCATGAAGGCCCATGCCATATTGTAATTTTAAATTAACGTATTCCTCTAAAGATAAAAATAAATATAGTTTAAAAACTCTGTGCCATATTTTTCGTCTATCGAACAACCCACGCTTTTTCACAATAATACCAGTATTTTTTGTTCATTACTATTTTCAGCCTAAATTAGGAATTATTTTTCACTTTTTAGTTTGATGTGCTTTAAAAGCGTGTTTTTTAGTTTTTTTTAACTATATTCATTTTCCACTTTTTAGTCCTAGCAGCAATACGTGTTGTCTCAATTTAACCGTATTGCTTTGTGGACTTAAAAAAAAGTCATTGTTTTTTCGAGATAAACCTATGAAATTATTATATTGTCGCTGATTCTTTATAAGTGTACAAAGTTTGAATTAAATCTGTCCGTTTAAAGTGGGTCAAAATCGAGTCCGAAGGTTAAGGTTGAGTCGAGTCTGAAGGTTGTAACCGACTGGTTACATACATACATACATACATACAGGTGAAGCTAATATAAAGCGTGTAATAATACTTTACCACGCGAAAGCTAAGTCATTCATACAGTACGGAATTAGCAGAACTTACAAAACCCATTTGGACAGTATTTACAAATTGCAAAGAAATTTTGTAAAATGACCTGAGATTATTTAGACACTATTAATACCAATCTATTAACATCCAATCCAAATTCGCTTCTGAAGGAAAACTTTTACGAGTCAAAGTAGCGTCGAACGAGCGATAAGCAACCTTAAACTTCGAACAAACAAAGTATAGTCGCAAGGGTACCCTGCAATTTTTAAAAGGTATTTTTTGGTCAACCTGGGATGTGATTGCTTGGCTTCATAAATTTAAGATAGATAGTCTGTGAGGTAAAATCCTTAGATCTTATTCTACAAACTACGAGATAGTGGATTCAACAGATGCGAGAACTGCGTGGTTAGCATCCGGTCCAGGCTTGAGTTTGCCGTCTAACGTCAACTTTCAAAGGAGCTGTGATGATCCTCTTTGTAAATCTGAATTCCAGAACTTATTAGGCCAAACCTAAATTACAGACTGCGCAAAACTGGTTGCAATGGGGTCTAGGAAAGCCGGTCATTAGCTTATACAGTTAACGTTTTTATTCGGCAGAAAGTAGCGATTTTAAAGAAACAAACCAAATGAGACATGTTCCTCGTTTTGCAAGTGTGACTGATGTATTGATATCTAAATATTATATTTACTAACACTAACTGACTGACTTTAATCGAAAAGAAATAATGCTAAGTAAAGATATTATAATTAATAAAAAAACAATTACTATTTACAGTGAGTTCTAAAGTTAGTTGAACTAACACATTGCTTGGTATAATACGATAGACACGGACGGTTAAATGGTTTTCTTGAATGTCATGAACTATCAAATTACAATTAACAATCATAATTACATTACTCATTGTTTTCGCATTTAGTCTAAACCAAAGTAGTCCATTCCTCCAGTCCAATGGACTTCGCGTGAGGACTTTGTAGTGAGAGTTTCCTTTTAGGACTTAAAAATATGAACTGCACTTTGTGTATTTAATATTATTTTAAAAGATTTTATTATTGACGTTTACATTTCTGCCGCATTAACTACAAAGACAAAGATTATTTGTAAAAATTAGTCACTTTAATTCCACTGCTTAACTAAATTATATATATATATATAATAATTTGATTTAATAGTAGTAACTAAGGGATGAGAGTCAGTCCCACGCTGAGCGAATAAGCCAATACTGTACTGACGAATATATGTATATTAAGTGGGTATTGTTTATAGGTTTTTGCATACAAACAAATTTTTACTTAATTAATTTTCGTACTTTTACCACCAGCCCCCAAATTCAAACATTGTATAGTATTACAATATTAGTAGATAATTATAATTTAATTGTTTAGTTGTAGTTTGTAAAACATTGATGTGATTAAAATCACCGTAGGGTTGCGAAGCTGTCATTTGTTATATCTACGATTGCAACGAGATATACGAAGAGCAAAAGATACTGGTATATCTACAATTTTTTTACTAGATTCGAACTGGATTATCTGAATACAAGGGCTGTACATATAGAGATAATATATTGTTCAGTAAAATACATACTTCGTATGTACGTACATATTCGATGTAAAATAATACCGTCATAAAAAATAATAATTTAAAATGATTTATGTAAAACATTAAGTGGATAATATAATAATTAGATATTCCAGACTGAACAATTTACGATTACGATTTATGACTTACCTAATTGTTCAATAAGCGTATCGATAAAAAATAACAGCATTAAATATTAACGAGTCTTTGTTTTGTCATTAATGACGTTAATATTTAAAGGTATATAAGCCATAACTTTTAAAGCAATCAGTGCATTTAGTACAGTCTTACAATGATTCGCATTATTTGTGTTTTGTTCGTGGCCGCGTTAGTGAGTGCTGCGCCAGAAAAAAAACCACATTACAATTTAAACGACGCTCCGGCCTTGTTCGAAAAATTCATCAAAGACTATGACAGACACTACAAAGATGCTGCAGATCGTGAAGAACACTATATAGCGTTTGTAAATTCGTTAGAATATATAAATAAAGCGAACGCTAAAGCAGGAGATGGAGGAGCTACTTCCGACATAAATAAGTTCGCGGATTTAACCCCTGAGGAATGGGACCGTATGATTGGGATTAAGATAAAACCTCCTTATTAAACTTCATAGAACGTAAGTATTTTATTTTATATTAATTGATGACTCATTTTAAAGCACTTAGACAAACAGGCAGTCTACGAATCCCGTTTGGGCGGGAAACCTTAAAGAAATTCCGTCTGAGAGGCTGTCAATGAAATAGCTACGATTTTTGGACCTTAGGACCAGATACGCTGAATCTCAAGTAAACGAACTAGAAAATTATTATTTTTTATTTATTGAGAAAGATTTACAGCTTAAAACTAACTCACTTACTAAATTTAAAGTTCTTTTTACACCAGTGAACAAATCTTTACTTTTAATTAAGTACTTAATAATTAACTGGATTGGTAAGCATAAAATCATTTTAATCCATCTATCTATATATATCAAAGAAAGCAATAAACTAAGCAAAAAATTCTTGAGGATCACTTAGGGTAATATACCTTATACAGTAATAAAAATTTACGATACACTATTTTTTCCACTGAGGAACTCAGAGCTTTAGCATAAAAAATACTGAACATATAAAAGACTAAAAATCTGTTTGAAAAGTAAACTATAAAATTAAAGATGTTGCACCATCTATAAATGTTGATAGTATCGACACATGAGTTAAACTACTAATGCTACTACTAATAATTTTATTAAGCGCTGATTTTATTTTATAAAAGTATGCTTTGAATTTTCCGCTTTTGATATACTGATTTCTTACTAGATTTTATCGTACCCTTAGTTTTGCGCGTACCAGCCAGAGGCGCTGTTTGAACGTTTGTGCTAATATATTTCTTAAATTTGTATAATTACCAACTCACGGTAGAGATATTCTGTTTGTAGGATTATTTAGTTCAAATATATATATTAATAAATATATTATTTTCAGATCAACATCAGTAAGCCACTTGGGAAATGTAAACTACAACTGTTTTTGCACTTAGAAAATAAATCTGAAGTTGCTGTAACGGTGTTTTTTTCATGACCAAACTTATAAACAATAGGAAAATTATATAAGTAACACATTAACAACAAAAAGTTGATGGTCTGCTAGTTTTGATATAAATTAATTTCTAAGAAGGCGCACATTATCTTAAATGTTTTACCATGTAATATTCTCAGGGAATATCCACGCAAATTAGTTTCAAATTGCTTAATAATTAATAATAATAAATCGTTTATTTGCAAAGAAAGTGGTACATTCAGATTGATTAATTATAGAAAAAGCGCACAATCAGCGATATAAAAATAGTCATGAAAATGACATATTAATTATCATGATCAGAACACGTAAATCATTTATAATTGTTTTTAAAAACTTATGGTCTAGAATCTAGATACTTTCCCACGCAATAAAGGCATTTGCTTTTAAAATTTAATCACCTTTCCCTTGAAATCATTACACGGCAGTAATCTATAATTTCTAGGTACGTGATTAAATAGTTTGACGTAGCCATGGCGTAACTGCATTTTTCACCACGATGATGAATACATGGTGAAAAATGTAGGTACTCACAGCCGTGTTGGATCCTTCGGTAGATACAGACAAGTTTCCTTCTCTCTTATGCACAGTTTCGCTGAGCTCTTCACTAAATAAGCATATTAAATTCTTATCTCTATACTACTACTATATATGTAATTTATATTTTATATTCACATTATTATAGTAAATAAACAATCATAAGTCGAAATGTTTTAATTCCTGCTAACACTTAAGACTCAATCTCTCAACAAGAGTACAGGTAGTTTTTATTAAGCAATTTAGTTTTAACTTTGTACGCACAACGGACCAACCTCGAGTCTAATTGCGGAGAAAGGAGTCCTTCAACCCTAGTTTTAACTTCACTGTATCGAACGTTGGCAGACCTTTGTCAATATATCATTTATTTATTTATTTATTTATTTACACTTTGTTGCTTTATGATATAAAAATTTAACAAAATTTTAAGTAATGGAAAGGCAACTGGCGGTGGTATCATTTTAGTAAGAGTTCTTTAACAGTGCGGTTCTTTGATGATACTAGGTAAAAAGAAATCCATTGATTGGCAATTAAATGTTGCAAATATAAGAATAACAGAGCTCTCCAAAATATGAAAATATAAACTATTACAAATTGTATCTTATTGCGCAGTATTATTACTTTAATAAGTGTAATTTAATACGCTATAATTAGCGTAATATTTCGAATATAGGTATTACATGCATTATTATAATGAAAATATTGTAATATTGCTTTCATAAGTTAAACAGACGATAGGTAAACAAGATAATTTTCTGATACTGCCTACGTTTTACCCGTAGGATTTAACAGACACCAAAATACACTACGAACCACATTAAGGGCTCATGCCCACGAGCCGGTTTGAACACGGCCCGGTTTTTGGCCGGCGCCGGGTAGAAACCGTCCGAGCTTGCACACAAGACGGTTTGTACACGACCCGGTTTCATCGAGGTGCGGCCTTCATACGCTCTTTTCATTCAATGAATTGTGTACGTATAAAATGTTGAGTGTTGAAAAGAAATTATGTATTATTGCGTTGTACATGTATAAAAAAGCTAAAAAAAGACGAGAAAAAATACATAGACGACATTGGGTACCTCCCATGTTAACAGAAAGAGAAGATCATGGTGCATTTCATACGCTCATTCAGAAGCAACTATGACGAGAAATTTGAGAAGTACTTTCGAATGAAAAAAAGAAACATTATAAAAATGTTACATATTTTGGGACCCAAACTTAAACATGAAGATACAAATATGCGCAGTAGTATATCTCCAATTAATAATTCCTGGTCGACTTCAATAATTATATAATATAATATTGCGTTGTGCGTACTGCGTAGGTAGTCGGCACGCGCCGGGTGTAGGCCCGGTCTCGTGTGCATGCGCTCATACACTGCCATACTCCACTGCGCGCCGGGCGTAGACACGGCGAGCACCGTGCCCGGCTACGCGGAGAGCCGGCGCGGCGCTAGCGCCGGCGTCGTGTGCATGGCGTCATAGTGTCCCATACTGCATACACGACTGTCGACCGGACATAGACCCGGTTTTTCGCCGGAGCTAGGCCCGGCGAAAAACCGGCTCGTGGGCATGAGCCGTCAAAGTGTGTTTTCGTGTTGTTCCCACGAGAGTGTATGTTCGTGCTCCTATTTCACCATGCCTCCTGCTGACTATACAAACGTTGTGTAAAAAAAATGCCGATTAAAAAGAGTGGAGGAGAGTTTATTGCCAGTTCTTCTCTTCCGTTCTACGCCCTTGATTTGAGAACTGGCAGTAAATGTAAAATTAGAATCATTAATATGAATTTCTTTACTGACGAGTCATAAGTGTTCATTATGTTACCTACACGATTAAATGATTTTTTTTTTACTTTTTACTTAAAGTCACACAAACATCTAGCTGGTACCGTTTGCAAAACGTGACAAAGATGCTTTGTAAACGTATTGTGAATACTGTGTTGATATTCCTGCATCTGAACGATGCATGCTACGAGTATATTTAAAGTAAACATTGTGAGAAAATGTCGAGAAATTTATCCCTGATTTATGACAATTCCGTAATGTAAATATTTAATCGTGGCAGTGCCTTTAAAATTTGTTTAGGTTTATTAAGGTGCTAAGGTGTCTTGGTCCGTGGGGTCCTAGCGCTATAAGGCTTTATAAGGAAATATCAAAAAGGCTAGTCGACATCACAGGAGACCGAAGGGCTGGCAGCTACCTCGGACAAAGAATTAGTCTAGCGATTCAAAGGGGGACGTCCCTCTAAAGTGCTCGAAGAAAATGATTACGCCAAATAATTATAACTTCTAACGCGTGTACACAAACGTTTTTTTTTATGACACAAAGGACACTGTAGAGGAAGGATGGGTAACAGTTCCTACAAACTAAAGGGAGTATCAAAGTCTAACCACTGACTGACTGTCCAGAAGACCCCAGTGGCTATAATTTATGGATTATCACTGTTAGAAGGGCCTTAATAGTTTAGCGCATGCCAATGCGTCAGTTCTGTCTGAAAATGAGTTCTAGCAATTTTTTTACTAGCGCAAGAGACTTCTACACTCTCTTCACTTCTTACGAGACTAGGATGGGCGGGTAAAAACGGTTTATCTCGATTTCCGGCAAGTTAAAGTGTTTTTCTTAATGGTCAATTAGGGTAACTAACTCAAGAACTGACAAATTACAATTAACAAAAAACGTACTCTTTTTTTTGTCAAGCATAAACTAAAGTAATGCAAACCAATGAATAGACATCGCCTGATGGACAAGTACGCGCAAATACTTGGTAGTGATAGTTTTCTTTCCGGACTTAAAATATTAACTTCACTTAGTGAGTTTGATCCTATAAAAGCCTTAAAATCATTGGTTTTTATTACATTGTTTAACTTAAGCAGAAATTTAATTTAATTTATGTAACTGTAATATTTATCCGATTAGCCAGTAATAAAAAAATTTCTTCGTTTCTACTATAAATATTATGTTAAGATAAATAATACCTGATTTGTATCATAGATAAATTTATTAAAAATTATGTATACATTGTATGAGTCCAAATTCTTGCACACTTGCGCGCTAAAAAGAGGGGGATGATTTAGAAAAACAAAACAAAACTCAGCCCTGGATTTAGGGGAGGGCAAACGGGATTACAGTCCACAAAAAAGAAGACCTCCACAGAGACTTATATAATAGAAAAATAATCTATGAACTTAGTATCACGATAAATGTATTATTTATTAACAGATTTTTCCCCATATTTTGTTTGGGGCTTTCATTCCTGTTACTCTGAGGTCTTCACACCTCTTATTGACATTGTCAAAACTATGACGTACCTATTTGTAAACGGGCGTCAATGTAGCGAAAAGCACCTTTATTCAGGTTGTAAAGCACACAAGTCTCTTATTAAATTAAAAAAAAGGGGTGCGTGTACTTATGTACGCGCGTAAGAAGTTATACTTCTTTGGCATTATTAAAAATAGTTTTTGACTGCATGCAAATAATTAATTACAATTAAATAATCAAAGACTGGAAAAGGAGTCATTATATTCAATAAAGTTCAGTTTCATTTGAAAAATTAAATAAATAAATATTTATTATTATTCTCTTACATTAAGTGTAACATAAATTCTATTTAGTTAAAATTATATATTATTATATATTTAGAACATCTCTACCAAACACTAAGAAGTATGTTGTTGCTTTGGCAGTATTGCACAATATATAATTAATAAATTTCTTTGAAAAAATAATCAAAACTCCTTTATTTGTTTAAAAGGTAAATGACAAATGTCATTATGGTCATTCAAAATTCTTGGCATACGAACTTCACGCATATTCTATTTATTTTTACTTGTAGATTGTCTTATTCCTATCTCGCTCGCGCACGCTATAATCACACTCCCAATTTGTGTCACAGGCGCGCATCGTAAAATTTCACTCTCATAAATTTTTCATAACGCGCCTAAAGAAGTATAACTTCAAAAATAAATATAATTAATTCGGCCAGAAATATTCGTTCGGTTCTTTTAAAACGTCGGCTTTGTCATCAAGTGCAACATCGCTGTTACCTTTTAAATAATTATTATTTAACTCGACTAGCGTTTTTATAAACCTATAATATTTAAGTTGACGATCGAACTTTTTTGTAGCGTTTTTCTTGTTGTACTTTTTCATATAATCCTTGTACAGTTCTTCTGCTTGATCTAAATCATACAATTCAGATTTCTTAATTTCTTTGTTTCTAGCTCGTCCAAGATACTCAGCGTCATTTTTATTTGATACTTTGAAATCTGAAATAAATAGGCCCAATAATATTTGATGGTAACATAATAAATTTAGTGCTACCTACTAAATTTTGATTGATTTTATTAAATATCTTAACTTATTTATTCTTTATCAGACGCGAGTTTTATTAAATCTTGTAGTTGCGGATACTATGTAAATAATACAATAATTAATACATAAAAGTCGTGTATTTTTTTTTTTTAATATTACACTTTAAAAACTTACATGGTTTGACGTTGATTGCATAATGCTGGCTTACCTCTTTCGAATCTAAGTCAGCATACTGATTAATAATATAAAGAGTATTCCTATCTTCAGTTACTTCGTTTAAATGAGCCACTTTATTTAAGTTTAATACAAAGTTTTCTAGTCCCACACGTTCTTCGGAAGCGTTTCCGTACATTTTGTTATATTTTTCTTTAAAATATTCAAAAATTTCAGTGGCGTTGTCGATATTATAAATTACGGTAATACCAAATGGTAAATTAAAAAGTGTGATTATACATATATACACTAAGGAAATCATATTAAACAATAAAACTGCGGGAATTTCGTATGTGCTTTTTTCTGTACGTGTGAATTGAGAAAAAAGTTTTGGGACTTCTCTTCTCTTTCTTATCTAGAAATGACAATACGCTTAGTTGATAAACGTTAATTAAACGGGCAGATTAAATACACGATTTAGCATGAAATTGAATTAAACGGAAGAGCAAATTATTATCGTTGAAGACGATAACGCACACATTTAACAGATAAAAAATTTAATAAATCGAATGATATTTTTCGTTTATTTTGTGAAAAATATTATATAAAAAGTTAACTATAAGTTTTCTATCATAACTTACGCTACGATCGAGATATCCATGGCGGCTAAAAAACAGACTTAACTCTATAGAATACTAAGCATGTCTACCTACCTTTATTATCTATCTACGCCATAGTTATAGAAATATATAGAAATACTGTGCGTTTTCCAATTACAGAGCATTATGCGACTCAGTGCCGCACAATGCCGCATAATTCTGAAGCTTAATTGGAACGTGAATTAGTTTTCAAATGCATCAGCAGAGTGCGCTAAGTCAGTGTTGTAAAAAAAATGTTATGAATTGAGTTAGCAACCTCATTAATGTATAAATAATGTGGTAAACAATAATAATTGGTTGAAAACTTTTTACGCTTACTTTAATCATCAAATTATTTCATTAACATTTTTTTTATTGAAATAATAGAAAACCTTTAAAGAATATAAGGTTTTAACAAGCTAAATTAACAGTAAAATATTTAGTTTCATGTAAGAAGTTTACATCATTTACGTTTTGAGTAATATTTTTTAATGATTTCTAAAAAAATTATATACTTTTTAAAAACCATTGCAATTTTTTCTAAAGTATAATCCTGTAAAATAAATTTGTTTACAGATCCGAATTTTAAAATAAAATTGTATTCATATTTTAAATGTGGAATATAAAAAAAGTAACTATTTATCATCCATACTAATATTTTTTTTTTTAGCAGTTTGAAATAACTTTAATTATTTTCAAAATCTACGACGAAACGAAAGCCTTACAAATTTTTCAACAATAAATAATATTTACTAACGAAAATTTCGATAAATGCCAACTTAAAGAAAAATACTAGTCAATTTTCTGTCACTGTGTTGGTATTGTTTGCGAGAAGCACGCGAGAGCATTCGTTTTGAGAGTGCTCAATTGTGCGAAGCGTTGCTGTAGTTGGAACACTCGACGATGAGCATTATGCCGCAAAATGCGCTCTAGTGCTGTAATTGGAAAACGCACACTAAGTTCAAGTTTGACAACGTCAAATATTTTTTGACGTTTCATGCTGTTTTGTCAAACATCAAATTTGGTACATTTTCCATCATCACTCATCAGTCGTCAGTCGTCACTCGTCAGTCAGTGTAATTTCTGGTTTTATAAAAGCTAGTATTTTTTGAATTTCAAAAAATAACTCGCTACTTAAATGTATTCTCAATATTCTTAAAAAACTTAAATGTTTAAATATTTTGTAGGAAAATATAAGTTACTTCGTTTATTATACAATGTTTAGTGATACTAAAGTTGTGTTTTAATTAAATAGGACTAAAACTTGGGAAGCTTACTGTAGAAAGAAAAAGTTACGAAGTATATATTAAAGAAGGTATGTACCATCTCTTTCACGTAATTTCATTCTCAATAAAAATAATTTATGTTACAATTTTACACCATAAAATATGAAATTCAATTTTACGGCTGAGTGATAAATTGTTGATTGCTTTCATATATATACATAGTAGATTTATCAAACACCAATAAAAAGTAACTTAAAAAATATTTATTTTAAAAATTATCATGTTGACCTCCTTAGCCATAGTATTTTGTGAGAAATCTGTCGCATGAATGAACCATTAATAACAATGAAAATTAGAAACACAATCACATATTTAATTTATTTAATATATCTTATTGCAATCATTTGTTTTAAATTGAATATGGTCTATGGTCTAGAAAGGTATTTTATATTATTATGCTTAGTGTAGTTGTCCTGTCCCTATACAAGATGTAGACTTATACAAATACTATGCTAATCCTCTGCCTTATATATGTATCCTCCCCTACTGAAGTTTTTCATATTCTACCAGTTACTCTCTACGCATTGCTTGCCTTATTCTAAAGCACTTAATTAATTACAACATAAAAATATTTTTTACTGATAGATTACTTTCATAGAGTGAAGGTTCAATAATGAATTGAAACTAAATATATTTATTTAGTTTCAATTTCATTCAAGAGACGGTTAAATTAGATAAAAAAACCATTTCTTGTATTGATGTTGCAATAAAGACTGGTAATGAGTTAAAACACCTGTGTAATGAAAAAACAAGTTTTTTTTTAGGTTTAAAAGTATTGTTTTTAATGTAATTTCCGAAACACTATTCATCCTAATTATTCTCTCAAAAAAAATTCAAAATTCAAAAATCATTTATTCACGTAGGTAACACAATGTACACTTGTGATTCGTCATTAAAGAAATAAATATTAATGCTTCTAATTTTACATTTACTGCCAGTTCCCAAATCAAGGGCGTAGAACGGAAGAGAAGAACTGGCAATAAACTCTCCGCCACTCTTTTTAATCACCATGTTTTTTTTTTTTTTACACATTTTTTACTCTAATTCTGTTTGTCAATATTTTATTTAAAAAAGGAATAAACATAATGTTTTATTATGATAGAAGTATTAGTATTTGATTTCTTATATATATTACACATATGTATTTCTGTAAATAAAGAACTGAGTATGATTTGATTCCAGAGTGTTTTGTTATAGATAAAGTCTTCATATTATGTTATTCGAAACTGCCTCTATGGCTTAATTGCTTACTGGGTTTGATTTCTAGACAAACTAATGAGAACAAACTAATTCAACAAACCAATATCAGCTATTTGATCTATGTACATGTTAATACACTATACACTGATACACCGATACACTGATAATTCTTCAGCTAGAAGATCGGCCACCTACATTGAAAATTGTACTGTACATAATTTTATGTAACCAAACTTAGCTACAGTAACAATGGAAAAGAATAGAATAATGTCATATTTTATTTTCATTTCAACTAAATTTTTCATTTGACTAGCTGTTAGATGGTTCATTAGTTAAATTTTTAATAATATTTCGGTATTGTTGTCAGCGCAACAGTGTGCAATGTATGAATTGAATTGAAATTAGTTTCCTTCTATAGACGCGACTTCTGCTTTCATTCGGTATTTATTTTATGTGGTTAATTTTATTATTGTAATGACTGACATAATAAATATATCAATAAAATTACTTAAATGTTTTTTGTAGTACTTTGTAATAAAATCTGGTTGTTTAATAACTTTATTTAAATACATAACTATTACGGCCTTGCGAAGAAATCCTACCTTTAAGTAATAGGCTGGCCTACAATTGTAATTCATGAATGTCTTTTGTGTGGAGTATTTGCGTGACTTTTCATAATCCTGTAATTGAGATTTCCCATGGTTCATGTAATTTGAATGTTAATTTTACGGTTCGCTACGCCATAAGGTGACGGTGGCAAAGTGCGCCTACCGGGCAAGTGCACCTACCACAAATATCTCGAAAACTACCGATTTAATACTAGTAGTGACACCTTATATCGATGCTACAAACTAAATCATAGTTCTTTGTGAAACTCATATATAGCTCTAGTCATGTGAGTTTGAGACACGAGCCATTTTATTTTCACTGATATTCAAAGTGGTGAGGAGAGATGACTATGGCGTGATCATCGTCGTAAATCTCAAGAAATCGAGTTTTTACCGATATTCGAGTGAGGTAAGTGCACAATTTAAATATTTTGCTTTTAGATTCTGACTTTATTTCACTCCTATCTAGTAAAATTTATATATTTCTTGCAAGTTAAATATTCAAACCTCAAATTTATATAGTTGGGGAAGCGCGCCATACTGACTTATTATATGGCGCACTTCGCCGCAATCCAGAGGTTACAAACTTTTTAAAATGTGTCTACAATAGACTAGTAAAAGTCACAATTATTAAATCATTATTATTTATGATTTTTGTTTAAGATGGGGCACTATGAAAGAAAAACTGACAGTCCTTCATGGTCCAGAGAGGCTTTGAATGAAGCAGTCGAAGCTGTTCGATCGGATAGAATGTCTGGGTATGCAGCCGCATCAACCTTTGCTATCCCAAGAAAACTTATTATGGACCACGTCACAGGTCGAAGGGGCCAAAAATCATTAAGTCTAGGCAGACCACCAGTATTTCAATATGAGACAGAAAAAATGATGGCAAAATGTTTGCATATAATTGAAAAAAAATGGCTTCGGCCTGACTCGTACAGAGTTTCTAGATATTGTTAAGGGACATGTCAAGCAGAACGATCTAAAAACACCTTTCAACGATGGTACTCCCGGCAAAGATTGGTTTTCAAGCGTTAAAAAGCATTATAAGTTATCAATTAAAAAACCGCAGGCTGTAGAGGTTGCTCTTAAGACTGCCGCAGACCCATTTGTCATTCAAGAATTTTATGATATTTTAGACAGAGTGATTGCCGACTTAGGGCTTCAGTTACTGCAGTGATCCACAAAAAACCAAAGTCATAGGTCTTAGGGGATTTCCATCGACTCGGACTACATCATCCTCTGGAAAGTCGATCTCCTTCTCTTTAGTTATTAAGTTGTAAGGGTAACAAGCCTTGCTTGATTAATGTTTTTGAATAATTACAACTAATATATTTTAGAAGATGTTTCTCATTGATTTTCTTTTCGTTACCTAGTTTTGTTAAGAATTTATAATAAATATTACACTTAATAACTAATTTCAATGACTAACTTCTTATTTCAGTCCCTTTATAATATTTATACCAAATAAATAGTTCCAAACCATGGTATTCCCATCGTAAATAAAAGAAAAATATACTTGACACTCGATTATCAATATTTAGAAAAAAGGTTCATAGCCTCTGACTTAAGATTGTATGGCGCATTTAGCCGAAATTTGGTTTTAAATACATAGATTCTTCTAGAATGTGGCTATGAAAAAATAAAAAATGGCATGCGTTTTGTTGCTTGTTTTCTTAAAATAATATAGGGCTGTTTTTATTCTGATGCTTTATTATTGCGTTTTATTAATACAAGGCGCACTTACCCGATTTGTCGGCAAAGTGCGCCGGGTCAGACTGTTTTCAGATTTTATGCTGAAATTCATTAATTTGCCGTCAGATTCTAATGACACGACATTAGTTGTTGTTGCAAAACATCACAGATCCTTATGGTACCATGATTTAGTGTCACTCGTGAACTTAAGCACAAGTAATATTGCACCAAAGTCAACTATGAAAAAAGTATGGCGCACTTTGCCCCCATCACCTTACTAGTCAAATGGACAAGGATCTTGAATAGCTTCCAAACCTTCAGTATTAATTTACCTACTATTTGTTATGATTTAAAAATTTCGTGAGTTTGTAACAAACGGCACGGCAAGGCCCGTTTACCTTACGCCGAGATCTGTTAGATATTATTAAATAGTTAATTTTGAAGAATTTTCTATACACACAAAAAATTAATGACTTATGACATGGCTGTACCAAAAGAACAAAATTTCTATGTGCGTAATGTTATACAGCTTGAAGCGGCACCTTATCTTATACCTAAAAATCGTGTGCCAGGTACATAAAACTGTTAAGTTACTTGCCTATAAAAGAACTATAAATGATCAAGACAAAGTGGACCAAAGTGTAAAAGTGTGTACGTCACTGAATTCATATCGTATATCGAGAATCAAATCAAAGAATTTATCCCCGGCAATTATCAGAATACTGTGTTTAGTATCAAACATTTACATGGAAACACTGTGATTTCATTAGTAATAAAATTAAAGCGTTATTTGCAATCATTCTCTCACCGCATTTAATTACAGGTGATGTTATGGCGTCTCCGTCCAAGCATAGAATGAAGAGGCAATCATGGTATATTCGGCTTATGCACAAGAGATTGCCTATAACGAAATGGCTGCCTGAATATAATTCCCAGAAAGCCCTGGCTGACATTATTGCCGGTATTACAGTGGGACTAACAGTAATTCCACAGGCTCTAGCTTATGCGACGCTGGCTGGATTACCACCTCAGGTAATTTGAATCGTTATCTTTTATGCGAAATTTTGTTTCAGCTCTAGTTGGTTTAAAAATATTTTTTTTTGTTAAACGCAATTTTGATAATTTTATAAAATTCTAGTACTTTCATATCTGTGTGCAAAGATTCATTTTTGTTTCAGGTTTTTTCTATCGTTTACATAGTACTATACTTTATTAATAAAATTCTGTTACCTCACTTCTATGTTCAATTGTATTTACAAGTAATCAGTTGTAACATTTTGTACTGAAAGCTACTTTCTATATTTTACCATTATATGTTCTATATAATGTATGTCTAAAAAGCATTAGGCTTATGTGGGTACTTTGACACGAGTACCCACATATTTCAATGGTCGGACAACTTTTCTAGATAATAAACTTTAAAAACAAAAACTAGCACTAGTAATGCGGTTGTATCATTTTAATTCCTGTCGAACAGGTTTACAAATATGTCGACATGTCTCTTAGGATTCAAGAATTTGATAACAAATAGAAAATTATAATGTTCAAAACATTAGAACGGCTTTTGCAAAACAAGCATGTATTGAAATGCCACGGCCTCGACTACTATGCCACTATTGACTTGATATATGTCGTTTCCTTTGCCTAATGCAGGTTTTGGTTTTATACTGACATATTTAAGAAATATGATAATGACGCTAATAGTATTGCAAATTGAAATTTATTATAACATTAATTTAAAAGCTTGAATATTTCGTCTTCAGTGTGCGACTGTCTTCCCTGAGGTCTTAAGTTCGATCTCCGATTAGGCACGAATGTGGGCATTTAACATTCGCTCCAACGATGAACTAAAACATCGTATGGGAACCGACTTGCCCAAAGACCAAGCCTTCTATACCTGACACTTGCCCAAGACCCAAAAAGTCGCCGGTGTGTCAGGTATCGCTAATCACCTACTTGCCTATTACATTGACAAATGATCATGAAACAGATACAGAATGAGGCCCAGAACTAAAAAGATTATAGCGCTACCGACTTATTTATTTTCACTGATGAAAGGGGCTAATTAAAAGATAGAAGCTTTCAAATATGTTTTGACATGCGGTTGGCATTTCGTGCTAAGTCTCGTTTCTGAATCTATCCCATAGTGCTGAGTGTGACTTGGGTATGTCAAAACGTATTGGATTTCGACAGCAGTCATAGTTCGAGTGTCTGAATCTCACCGTAACTCTCCAGTCCAAACCTTATTGAAGGCTTTCAACATTAATTGAGCAACTTGTTTCAGTATGGCCTCTATTCATCGTTTGTGGGTTGCTTCATGTATATTGTGTTCGGTTCCTGCAAAGATATAACCCTGGGACCAACTGCATTACTTGCTCTAATGACGTATGAACAGATACAAGGTCGCAACTTCGATTATGCCGTCCTACTGTGCTTCCTTACTGGCATTGTACAACTCATCATGGGATTATTACATCTAGGTAATATATCAAAATGTATTAAAACCTTTTTTGTTGAGAATCCATTTTGATTTTTTTCGAATAAAGAAAAATTAGACATAGTAAACCTAATTTGTTATTAATTAATCTTAAAGATGTTGAAATAGATGGCTTCATATTTATTATATATTACTTGTATTTTGTATTATTGTATTTTTGGGGCTTTATAATTGTGGCTCATTGGACACGCAATGAAATTTGTTTTGAATCACCTAGTTTTCATTTTCTTGGAGGCAAATAATGTATTATAATATAAAACTTAAAACAAGGACATTATCTCGACAGTTTAATTCATGGATATATCAAATGATATGGTATTGAAACCCAATGGACCCGCGGTCGTATACTGCTACTACCGCTGGGAATTAGTGCCTTCCTTGTAGCTTTGAATACATTTAAATTCAATGTGATTTATACACATTAACAACAATATTCTTATAATTACATAAAACTACCAACGTCCTTCGTAATTTACAGTCCGCAATATTTTTCGAAATATTCAAATTCAAACTAAATTGCGTTATAACTGTGTAAAATCAATTGAATATGTCGTGTCGTATACATACGACATACAACTGTTCAAATAAGAATTATCGTGTATCGACACAGTAAACTTAAATTGTAGTTATGGTTCATCGAGGAATTTTAATTGCCTTAATTAGTTCTTATCGTTAGCAAACGTTCACTAGAACATTGATAGGGAAATTAATATAAACATATAGTTCGCATTTGTCGTATATGGTTTTACACTGTCACACTATAATCGCAAATAAACTAAAAAAAAAATAATTCAAAAAACACTTCAATTTAATTATTGTTAACTAGCTTGGTTAACAATAATTAATTGAGAACTTCGTTTTGCCATAATATGTTTTTTTACTTAGCTACGTAACAGCATATGGAACATTTTGCTATGCTTTGCCATAAACTACTATACTAAATAAAGCTACATTTTTCAATTTTTTTATTTATTTATTTATAATCGAATTTGTCCAGCCGTCGAGTTTTGCGCTTTTTTTTAAGTACATGTTAACTTTCGATTAATTTAATAAAACATTACTAATTTTATATACTTTCTTTGCCGTGGTTTCACCTGCCTTTATTCGATCGTCGGAGGCATCCATTGTTGGCTGAAGTTCCATTGCTTGATATCGCAAATAAATACATTTTTATTCTGAGCATCGCCATGTAACAGGGTTAGGAATGGTAGTGGAAGAATATATGCGGTTAAAATATAAGTAGTAAGACCACAAAAGCGATGGGCTAACGCTATCGTCAGAAGGACGGAAAAACTAACACCCATTTCATTTGTAAATTTTAAGTACGGAATTAAAGTGGCTCTATTACCTATTATTTTTATTTATTATTACATATAGATAGATAGTTACAATTAGATAGTTAAAGTTAATTATGCTCAAGTAAAATGTTTGTTATGTTAATAGTAACCGAATATCAAACACAAGCTTGAATACATTGACAAAGTTGATTATTATATAACTCATTTCAGCGAACGTGTTTTTCATTACAATATTCGTATATATATTTTTGTTTAAAGCCTTGAAAAATCAGAATTACTTAAACTATAAAACGTCATATTATTTATAATATAATAGTGATAAAGGGAAAAATAAGTATTGAATAAGAGAAAATGTTGTACGTCGTAAAACATTCAGGGAGTAATTGCTATTTCACAAATTTTCTCTAAATGTTAATAATCTTCTTACTGAACACATTTGGTGGCATGAGAAAACCAGGTAGACCGGTGGTGTGATGGATTTGTCAAGGACCTCGAAACAAGCCGGTGATAGATTGCAATTACGAAAGATTCTTACGGAGGCTAACGTCCGTAAGGGACTGTACAGTTATTGTTTTTTTCTCTAAATGCCAGTCTAAATTCTGTGCCTTTCCACTCGAAATTATTTCGATGGGAATCGCATCGTTCAACAAGCTCCTATTCCCCGCTTATTCTCGCAGCTAAATAGTTATTTGTGAAGCGCGAATATACTGTGATTTAAAAATTATTCAGAAAATATTATTGTATAGCAAAAGGTTTTTTGGTAATTTTATAAAAATCACTTAAATTTATAATATTTTAGTTCAAATTTCGCCATTTATCCATTTCAATCATACTTATTTTTTATTAAATAACAAGATAAGTAAGAACTAACTAAAAGCTGTTATTGTCAACAGGTGTTTTAATAGATTTCATCTCTGTGCCCGTAACGGTTGGTTTCACATCGGCGACTTCAGTAATAATAGCCGTGTCACAACTCAAGGGCTTGTTAGGTCTACAGTTCAAGTCCAGAGGATTCATAGATACGGTTAAGAAGGTATATATTTCAATTCAAATAGTCGGAGAAAATTCAATCGAGAAAACCTATAGAAAGTCAGTGAGTTGTATACGATGATAGAACTTAGGATATTGAACCCGGATATAATTATATAACTATAGTATATATATGTACATAATGATTATATAAATAGTATTAAATGTCTCAACTCTAAATATATTAAAACTTATCAACATAAATATATTTGTTATGTATTTTTTAATTAATTTGTTAAAGGAACCTTTGTTGCTCTTTTTTTTGCCTTTTGCTCTTTTACCTTAGAAAAATCGTAGGAATTATGATGTTATACAAAATTATATACCTAAATTCTGTTTTTTTTAGGTGATTGTGAACATTCCAAACGCGAAACTAGCTGACAGCCTTCTGGGGCTGACTTGTATAGTCATACTACTTTTAATGAGAGTAAGTTCTTATTGTTAATAATTTCCTTTAGTTATATAATCCTATTTTTCTTGTGATAGCTATGGTAGCGAACCTTTGACATTTGCTGTAACAAAGAAACCAGAGTGGTGAGAACATTAAACAATAGACGAATGACGAACCCGTGCGTTGATGGACACGTATCAACTATCAACGCGTATTCGACTAGAGATGCTTTCGACCAATCAACAGAACGCACTCGTCATTTCCGTTATTCGTTTTCACCTCTCAGTACTTACGTACGTAGTTACATTGTCACACATATACCCAGAACGCACCATAAGCGTTAATACAACTACTACGACGAACGCTTAGTTTTATTATTTTATCATGTAAGGGTTTTTAGCAGTAAGAATAGAATGATATTAAGTTTAGTCTAACATCGACCACCGTTTAAATAGGAGTCTAATATCGACTACCGTTTAAAATAACACTTGTATTTTTTAATCAATAAAGTTTCTTTTATATTTTTAAAAAAATCTATTGAATACTGTCGCGACTACGTCCGTTTCATTCACAATAAAAATAAAAATGTACTTAAAATCTTTTAGGAAGGTACCTACGTTTCCATCTTTACATAAATTTAAAAAAAAAAATAATATCATTTAATCACATAGGTAACGTAATGTACACTTTTGACTTGTCAGTAAAGAAAGACTAATAACAAAGTAGCAGTTTTTTCGACAGTTGTTTTAAGTGTCGGATGAAATAATAACTAAAATATAAAACTAAGAGTTAGTTTTATATTTATTTGTAAATCATATATCATTATAACTCTCGCTTTCAATCGATTGATAAGTTGATGTTATCTTAAGTACCGCAATACGATTAACATAGCTGTTAATATGAGGATTTTGTCATTAACTTGTTTATAAAATTATTGAAAAGCTGATTTTGAAAAACAATTTGTAATAGAAGAATTTGTAATAAATAAACTCAAAAACTACACGACTAATTTCAAAAATCCTTTTACCATTAGAATTTTAGAAAGTAAGATTTATTTGTTAGTTTAATATAGGCTATATTTATTTACACAATGATTTAAAACTAATGTCCCGATATGTGAAACTGGGACTATCCGCAACTACATTTTGAGTCAGACAAAACGATATGCCATATTAATAATTATTCAGAGGTAGTTCTACAACCGTATAAGTTTCTTGAATATTGACGTCGATTTTGCATTCAAGACATACTTAACGATTTCCTTGTGTTCTTACATCAGAACCAGTGTCAGCTGTTTCCTGCTACATGTACTAAAAAGATTCTGGTTTTAATAAGGCCCAAAATTTGCATTTTTCTATCAAGAACATTGTATGTTAAGTAAGGTAATCAAATCCAAAAAAATAAGCGGCTATAGGCGTAATGTGGTGGGCACACAACATTCCATGTGTTAACGAAAGTCCGTCCGAAGTTAAAAATGTACAAAAACCCTTTCAGAAAATCAAGGATCTAGACTTGCCTCCTCATAGAAGAGGCCTCAAAAGAGCCGTATGGCTGTTCTCTACGTCGAGGAATGCGATAGTCGTCCTAGTCTGCTCGATAATGGCATTTATATGGGAAAAGAATTCAGAATCACCATTCAAACTCACCGGCACTGTTAAGTATGTTTTATCAATGAGGCTAATTTTATTCAATACTTTCGCTTTAATGTGTGATAACTACCCAGTTTCCGCTCAGAACTAGATAGGAAAGTTATATAATTATTTTCGTTCTACCCTCTTATGAGACTAGTTTGCAAGCAATTTTCCAATTCTAAAACACTATTTTGACCGGATTGAAGTTATGTATTATTATAAATTTACAACTATTTATGTATATAACTATTTAACATATAACTATATGTTAAATAGTTGTAAATTTATAATAATACATAACTTCAATCCGGTCAAAATAGTGTTTTATTAAATGAATAAAAGTTATGTTAATCAAAGCAATTTTCCAATTCTAAATTTTCATATGCTATCTTCTGTAATCAATGAAATATATTTAAATGAAGATTAATGTAGTATTCGCGTTATTCACATAAATTTCCTGTTTCATAATGACGGATACAAAATGAAATTTTTATAACAGATCTCAATTAAATATTTTTAATTTATTTGTATAATGGAACAGGAAACTAAATCAGATTTACTAATACACATAATAATTGTATTTTATTATTTTACTGTATATTATTTTTAAACTACTTTTTTTGTAGGTTATCTATTAGTATTGTATATAGGCTCTAACCATGATTGCTAAATTTCTTAAAGTATTTTGTGTGTTTGTCCAAAATCGGATAGGGACATTCCAAAGTTTAAAGTTTCATTAAAATAGTTTTTGGTATGGGTATCCTTACGCTTCTTTAAGGTTTCTTTATAGTCAGATATTTGGAGTGGGAATATTTTTTGTGGGTGCCGTCTGCATCTTATTAAAGTGAATAAATAAGAGTGGAGCTAAGTAGAAATGTTTTGTAGAGAAGGTCTACCGCCACTCAGTCTACCCCCATTTGGCACAGTGGTGGATGGGAAGAATGTGACCTTGCTGGAGATGTGTGCGGATCTGGGCTCATCCATTGTTCTCGTTCCCATCATTGGAGTGCTGGGGAATGTCGCTATCGCTAAAGCTTTTGGTTTGACATTTATTTACTTATAAAATATTGTATTAGACTAAGAGTTGCATTATTTGTATGTCAAAAGTAAATGTTAGGCTTAAAATTTATAATAAAGGAAAAACGAGTGGTGCTACAACCTTTTTAGGTCTCTTAGATTGCTGTTTCATGATTTTTTTTTTCTAAAAGGCAAGAAGGTAATCAGCCTGTGCCTGACACACGCCATCGGATCTAAGCATGCCGGTTTCCTCACGATGTTTTCCTTCACCGTACGAGCGATTGTTAAATGCCCACATAAAACGTCCGTTGTTGCAAAGCCGGGATCGAACTTACGACCTCAGAGATGAATCGCATGATAAATAAAAATTGTTACTATAATAATATAGTAAATATGCAACTTAATTAAGTTTAATCAAATGTATAGTACTCGCGTGAACTAAAGATTATAAATGACTGCCAATTAGCATGGGTAAATATATTTTTAATTTATTTCAGCAAGCGGTGAATCGGTCGACGCGACGCAGGAGTTGATAACGCTCTCGTTCGCGAACATTCTCGGATCGTTCCTTAGTGCGATGCCGATCACTGGATCATTCTCCCGTAGCGCTGTCAACCACGCCAGTGGAGTCGCTACACAATTTGGAAGTCTTTACACAGGTATCTTTTTGAGTTGTTCATTTATGAAGGTCGTTTTAGTAGCGCTCTCCCCTGTCTTCGAGATGTGGGATCTCTCTGCATCTTCTACCGCATTTACCATAGAGAGTACCATCATCGGACGTCAAGGCAGAATACAAAATACCATCCGTAAATACAATACAAAATATCACCTTGACGTCCGTCGTTCCACAACCGAGCGTTTCTTAAGGCAATTTCTGCCGCGCACCACCACTATGTGGAACCAGCTGCCTGGAAGTATTTCCGAACCAATTCGACTTAGGGTCCTTCAAGAAAAGAGCGTACCATTTCTGAAAGCGCGCTTGCCAGCCTTCTGGCAGTGCGAGTGACCATGGGCGGCGGTATCACTTGTTAACAGGTGAGCCTCCTGCCCGTTTGCCCCCTGTAACATAAAAAAAGGATCTGCGTCTGGGTGATGGTGAGGCCTGTAATGGCCTTTACTTGATCGGTAGGGACCGGCTTCGAGGTCTACGTAAAGTACGCGATAGATTTTTATATTCAGAGCAGCGCATTTGGAAATTGAAGCACGAAGTTATTAATAAAATTTAATTCGTGTTAAATTATAGGTATAAATTGTTTAATGAAATTGGCCATGAAAATGTATGAATTATATGGAATCTGTCATGTCAAATTAGCATGCAAATATCACTGACGTTATGATAGTAACTTGATGAAATTATTTCTGATGATTGGTCTGATCTTATTAGTTAAACAGACGCAGATATGTTCTCTACAATTTCGGCTTCGCGACCTTGAAAATTTAACTAATATTTTAAAGTATCGTGTGTAAATTGTGAACGCGTAAATTTACCACCATAGACTACGTACGTGTCGAGTGATTTGCTGTTTGTCGATGGCAGCTATTTTTAAATTAATTTTTTGTTCCATTAATCTAAGTCCGAGGTCTTTATTTTAAACTTTTTACGAAGCATTTTTGAGTAGTTTTCTTGGTAACGTTGGACATAGAAAGTTTTATTTATTTAATTGGTATCAAAAGATAAAGTTTAATTCTCAACATTTTTAATATTTACGTGTATATTTGTAACAAAAGCAGTGTTGGCCTAGTTGCATCATCGTGCGACTCTCACCCCTGAGGTCGTAGGTTTTATCCCCGGCCGTGCACCAATGGACGTTCTTTCTATGTGCGTATTTATTATATTATATTTAACATCCGCTCGAACGGTGAAGGAAAACATCGTGAGTAAACCTTGCCAAAACCCAAAAAGTCAAGTGTGCGTGTCAGGCACAGGAGGCTGATCACCTACTTTCCATTGGAATGACAAATGATCATCAAACAGATTCAGAAATCTGAGGCCCAGACCTAAGGTTTATTTTTATTTCTTATGTGTGTAACTTATTACTATTTACGCCTGCGCGTGTCTCATTCCCTCATATCAAGATGATATAACCATCCTGTTCTACCATTTATTATTTTATGAGGAGTTTCTAATAGCGGAAACATAATAATAGCGGTCTTCTCTACTCTCTATAAATTGAAGCGTTTATCATGTACATACCTGTCGTTTGTTTACATACATGCACAGACTTGTCAATTGTTTACATAAATGGGTGACAACTGACAAGTGACGATTGCTTGGCAGCTCTCACCACTATCGAAAATTCATTGGACAATGATAAACTGAAGTCACTCACTCAAAAAAAGATTACAGACTTCTTTTCGAAATAAAAATTTGTGAATAATTGTTATAATAATTGTTAATACATAATAAGAATATAGAAATAATAAGTAACAAATTTTTATCAAATTCTTATTTCCTTCAGTCGTGGTTATTCAAACACTTGTTATTTTGAACTCTTGATAATTTATCTCTGGTCCCTTGAGTTTCAAATTATCGAGAGTCGACTGTATCTGATTACGTGCTCTAAATTGTTTATAAAAGTTTCGCTACTAAAAGTTAAGAGACCATTAACCTCCGTATTGTTATTCTCAACAATGTCACGAAAATTGGTGTCACTAAAAAATGTTTGACAGAACATTGATCCGTTTGGTAAAGCAACAGAAGAAATAATTAATATTATAAATGATAGGAATGACCTGTGGAAGAAATACAAAAATAACAGAGAAACTTCTCGTATAGAAAATTAATTCCATAAAATAAAAGAGTCTGTAACTAAAGTTATTAAGAAAACTAAGGATAGTTATTATTACAGCCAATTTCTAAAATGCACAAATCCAAAGAAAATGTGGAGTTTATTGAAAGAACTTGCCGCTAACAAAAAGAAAGATACCATTGCTCCCACAAAGCTGAATGTTAATTCATATATAATAACTGATCCCATTCTCATTTGTGAGTCTTTTAATAATTTCTTTTCTACTATTGGGTTAAATCTCACTAATCATCTACGTAATAAACAAAACAATTTCAATCTAACCGTACCAAATAACAACATACAATTTATTTTAAATATTTTTAGACCGTGTACAGCTCAGGAAATTTCCCAAATTATTAACAATCTTGACCCAAACTGTAGTTCAGGTATAGATGGCATCACAACCAAAACCATTAAATGTATTAAAAGTCAGATTCTTGATAACTTAACGTCCTGTCTTAACGAATTACTCAGGGACGGCAAGTTCCCTGATAACTTAAAGATCGCCAAGGTCAGTCCAATATACAAATCTGGGCCCAGAGATGATCCGGGTAACTACAGACCCATCTCGGTATTGCCGGTTATGTCCAAGATATTAGAAAGAGTTTTATACTCGCGCTTATTAGACCACCTAAATAATATAAACTTTTTATACGAACACCAATATGGATTTAGATCAAAATCTAATACATTATTAGCTACAATTAATCTCATTACAAAAATTAAAACTAATACCGACCAAAGGAAAATTGTCCTTGTAGTATTCATTGATATAATGAAAGCTTTCGACACAGTTTGCCACTCGCTTCTCGTAGAAAAGCTGGAAACGATTGGAATAACTGGCAATGCCTTAAAAATGTTCAAATCATATTTAAACAATAGATCCCAAGTAGTTAAAATTAATGATTGTCAAAGTAAACTCTTACCTATCTCTTGTGGAGTACCACAGGGATCAATATTGGGCCCATTATTGTTTTTAATTTATTTAAATGATATACAACACCTTAACTTGCATGGACAGATAACCTTGTATGCGGATGACACCTGTCTCCTATACACTGGTTCATCTGTGCATGATATAATTTCTTGAGTGCAAAAGAACCTTGACTATCTCTACTTGTGGTTTCAATCGAAATTGCTAACTATCAACACTGCTAAAACATCGTACTTAATTTTTAAACCTAAAAATGTTAAAATCCCACCACACTCGCCTATAACAATAAATAATGTACCACTAATTGAAAAGAAAAGTGAAAAATATCTTGGATTATATATTGACAATAACTTAACATGGACAACGCACATAAATCATTTAATAACTAAATTATCTTCTTTAAGAGGTTCCCTTAGACACATAGTTCGAAGCCTTCCTCGTGAAGTTCGTCTTCATATTTATAATTCTTTGGCAAAATCGCACCTTCTTTACCTTATTGAAATTTGGGGAGCCGCGACTAAAACTAATATTTCTCACCTTCAAATTGCTCAAAATAAAGTAATTAAATTGCTTTTTCATTACCCATACTTAACTTCTACACAAAAAATTTACAGTGAAACAAAACTCATGAATATTAAACAATTATTTCAGTACAATACCAGCTTATTAATTTACAAAATTCTAAATGACCATATACACACTAACATTACTTTCACTAAAATAAGCCAAATTCAGAAGCGCACTTCACGACGCCCTCACAATCTTATTATACCGAAGTTTAGAACTAATAACGGTAGAAAAACATTGAGCGTTGGGGGAGTGCTGCGGTACAATAGACTACCACAAAATATAAAAAGTGCAGACAGCCTGGCAATATTTAAACTTAAACTAAAAGACCATCTTCTAAGTGATCCTAATTACCTACGCAAATGACAGTCCACCCAAGTTATACTTCGATGATTGATCCTTGACGCTTAAACACGACGTGATAAATTGTATTTTTAGTCTATAAGTCTCATGTAAGTGACCATTGTCTGTAATGAGAAAATAAATGTCTTTAAACCTAAGCAACTGTTGTTGTGTCCTAGATCTTGATGCTGCCGCGTTTGTTTTTTTTGAATGGATGGTCCACAATTGATGTAGTAGTGCTGTAGCTACCAAATATATTTTCATAAGTGTAATTTTAATGATAAAAACAAATAATTATATCCCTGAAAATTTAATACAAGTAGTTAATTACTTTAGCCGTTCGGCTATTAATAATACCAACGACAGAAAGAAATACAATACAGGCACAAATATAAAATATTAAACGAAATACATGTAATTGAGAAGTTTTCTTATATATTTTATTGATGATGAGATCCTTATTTTCTATTCTTTCAGTAAATTAATACTAATGCAATAGAAAACATATTAATGCAAAAATTAAACTACGAACCATTATATCACATATAAACAAAACATTTTTAAATAAATCTTGAATAATAATTCATGTCAATTAAATAGAAAAGTCTCACGTTCAATAGTATTGACGGTGCGCAATAATATTGAACAGTAAACAAAACTTAAATCTTAATATATATAAATTACGTGTCACGTTGTTTGTCCGCAATGGACTCCTAAACTACCGAACCGATATCAATCAAATTTGCACACCGTATGCAGTTTGATCTAACTTAAAAGATAGAAAAGCTTACATCTCAATTTATACCCGCAATATTATTTTATTGCAAAACATTTGTTTATTATTTGATAGTCACAATTCTAACAGATGGCGCTGTGTTGAAAGTTCCAACATTTCACATAAGCTACAATTTAATGACATAACCACCAAAAAAGCATGGTGGTCCCCATGACTGGTGTTCTCCTACCGTTTCCCTTGAATAGTTTGCTACTATGTAATATAACAAAAACCTTAGCTACAGCAACGCTTGGCCGGTCTGCTAGTAAACTTATATATTAATGCTCTCGAACACCACACATTTTAAAATGAGTACAATCGAACACTTATGTAAATATGTTAGACAAAGACTTTTTGTATTTTACAAGTCGCATTGGTCCGCCATGCATACATAGCATACATAGCAATTGGGTAGGAATAAAAAAGAACACATTAATAATAGTAAATAATTAACAATGCAAGGTCTCTAGGAAGTGACCTTGAAGTGTGAGGGAGGAAATGTAAATTTTCGAATTTGTATGTAATTTTTAGATTAAGTGTTAAAATATCACACTTTTCTGATGTTTATAAACATACGTTTTGATTTAGTCCTTTGATTAGTTCTAATCGGAGTTTCATGAGTTTCATTCAGAGCACCAGTATTACTTCTTTCCCCAATTGGCTTCAAAATCTTGTGTGCCCAAGGGCCCATACTTTAATATGGCTTTGGTAATCCTATTGTATATTTTGCAGGTATATTGGTGCTACTAGCTCTAAGTCTTCTAACTCCATACTTCTATTTCATTCCAAAGGCGTCGCTGGCTGCCGTCATCATTTGCGCTGTGATATTTATGATTGAGTATGAGGTAATATGATTGTTCAATACTTTTTTTAAACTTTAATATTTGACAATTACCACACTAGGTTCTAAATTTTGTATTTTTTACGACTAATAAATATTACAGATAAAAAACCAAATTTATTCGTAAATTCAGTACATTATTACATAACCTTTCAATTGCTTCGCAGGGGATCGGACACGGGATTATGTAAAAAATATAGACAGAAGGCAAAAGAAATAGAAAATAATAAATGTCAAACAAAAGATTATTATTATATTTGTAATTTAAGTAAATTGTCTATTTAGGTAGTGAAGCCAATGTGGCGTTCGCGTCGAGCGGACTTGGTGCCCGCGTTTGCGACGTTCGCACTTTGCCTTGTAGTGGGTGTGGAGTTGGGGATCGTAGCTGGGGTTCTACTCAATGTGATACTGCTCCTCTACCCCAGTGCCAGGCCGCAGTTGGAAGCTGAAATCGTTACGGTAACTATAGCTGGTTTATTGGTAACGCTTTTTTCATTTCAATACAATCCAAGCGTCCCTAAGGTATATCATAAGCGCGCGCGACGTTGAACACGTTTATTATTTACAGTGACGAAACGTTTGTGAGACAAGAATATATATGTTATATGTTATGAGTGTTAAGAACGAGAAGATATGTCTAATGCAGTGTTTGCCATGGTGGGGCCCACGCCAATTTATTATTTTTTTAAATAATTATTTGGAATTTCAGTTTTTCATTATCAAAATCTTTACTTATACTTACTGTGTTTCGATAACAATTTCCAAGTAATTTATTCCTCAAACCCATCATTTAAGTTTCTTAGGCAATTCAATTTTAGTTTGGTCTGATGGGTTCCTAGAAAAAAGATACTAAACACAACTTATCTTACCGCTAAATACAATCATTTTAAAAACTATACAGTTAATCAAATAATTTCGACAAATTTTAGTCAAAAGTATAATTAATTATCTCCTGCTTTGTGAATTAGAGAAAAATTGTACCCAGAATAATTTACATTACAGCGAAATATTTACACAAGAATTGTTAATTCACATTTTATATAAATAGGTGTAATTAAACACAAAATTTGCATATAGATATGAGCTGTCTGTCGCGTGACAAACAATTCGTTTCAATTTCGGAATTTCAATGGCTTAATATTATCGAAATGTTCTTTGCTTAAAACCTTCTGGTAAGGTCAGGGTCATGCCGAGTATACTTCGTTTGTAAAGCCTATTTGAGGTTACGCCAATTGCTATATCTTCGCCGCATATGTTTTTTATAGGCAAGTATATTAAACTCTGATTTTTCATTCCGTAGAATTCTGACATTTCATAAGTGTTGCTACCAAAAAAGTTCTCCGCCGACAAAGGGAAAAATTTTACCCATTTGAGAGCGATAAACAATAAAATGCTACGTATTTTTTTATGTTTTACTTTAAAAAAGGTAAATGTAAATATTTACTATCTAATATAGTATATATTATATATATACACTATATTTATCACGAACAATATATCGAATTAACTTTTGAATTTAATTATTAAATAATTACTTTAAGATTCTTTAGCTGGCATCACTGCCTATTAATTCCAGGTTTAGTCAACCTTTTTAAAAAATGAAATGTTAGCTGTTAAATGTTATTTCTTACTGTTTGTGATGAAAAGGGACGTAATTATCACTCGCCGTAAAACCACTTTTAATGTGGAGCACCACATTTAATAAAATGGATACATTCAGTAACAAATAAAATATATGTATAGACGTAGATTTTAAATCTCGTATTGAAATTGAAAAATGTGCCCGGCTGGTAATCCCTGACATGTCAAAAAATGATAGCTGTCAGAGTAAAGGTGATTAGCCTTCTGTGTCTGACACGAAATTTTGATGATGACACATGCAGGCTTATAGCACGCATATAGAGAGACATATTACAGTTTTCTTATGTTCCATTAAAGTATTAAATATAATGTTTGGATGAGCGACAATACGAAGTCCCCGATACATTTGAGGGGATTTTTTTTATGATATGGCCCCAAAGTGAACAATGTTTATTATTTCAGAATCACTACGGCCTGAATTACCTGCTAATAACGGTCGGTAACAGCCTCTACTTCCCAGGCGTGGAGTACATTCGTCAGTATGTAACGAGAGCTGCGAGCAAACAGTCCGGGAACGTGCCCGTTGTTATCGACTGCAGATACGTATTGGGTTCGTATTTTACAATCACAAAATGTGTTTATTCATTATAGGTATCCATTACAAAGGGATTTTCCAGCTCTTCCATAGCAAACTAAATACTTAATTCCATAAGTAAGTTAATATATATTTATAAATTACAATTTAGATTTTTTTATAATTGCTTACAACAATTTCTTATCCCTACTTTTTTACATACTCTAGGTCCATTACGTGATGTTGATGCCATGTTTTCATTATTCTTTCATAGCTGCAGCGCATTCATTTGTATCATAATTTTAGTTATTCGTTAATTACTGTGTTCGGCAAAGCACCCACTTAAATACTCATTTGCCCATATTTTATTATTTTATAATTTATATTATTACTTAAGATGTCATGTGGAACATGGTGTAATGGTTGCAGCTCCTTACAAACATTGTGTAAAACAAAATACTTGGCGATTAAAAAATGTGGCGGAGAGTTTATTGCCAGTTCTTCTTTTCACATCCACCTCAAGGGTTGGATTACTTTGAGAACTGGCAGTTAATGTAAAATTAGAAGTATTTCATATACATTTATTTTTTGACGTTCATAAGTGTACATTTTGTTACCTATATAATGAATGACTTTTAATTTTGGAATTTTAATGGCGGTTTACAAGTCCAAACGTTGTCATGACATTGAGTTAAAAGAACTTTTATATTGAAACTAATATGAAAAAATGTCATTTTAGGGGCTGACTTCACAGCTGCCAAAGGGCTGTGTGCGTTATCAAACTCGCTATCTGCCCGTGGCCAGCCATTGCTGCTACTTTCGCCTCGAGCCAGTGTCGCCTCAGTGTTTAGTGGGGCGGGGTCTAGCGTGCTCGTAGTACTTAACGCTAACGAACTGGATGTTACACTACAAGGTGCAATATATAAAGTCTTCAGCGCTCATGATTGGTCGAACGGATAACGGAACGTTATCAATTTAGTTATAGACACGTTGTTAACGGTCCGTTAAACCGTTTTTTTAACATGATTTAAGTGTGTTTATTGTTAATATTGTATAATATATAGCGGACTCCACAGACTGTACACATGTCGAACAAACCATGTAATTGTAAATCTAAACCATTCTAGGATCCATTATACCACACAAAAATTTCATCAAAATCGATCCAGCCGTTTAGGAGTTTAATTACAAACGCACGCTCAGAAAATGTATGTATATAAAGATTACTGTGCTTAAAATAACTATTTTAAATTTAGTTTCTTTTTTGGTTTAAAATTAGTGTTCATAACTTTCATAAATTCTGTTGTTTGGATTCTTTCTATTATGCAATATTTATGTATCTGTATGTTGTTTTTTATTGTTTATGAAATATTTATTAATATTAAATTTAATTTATTTTCAGAAATAACAGGGCAAATTGCCCTTTCCGTAAACCCAGATGAGCCAAAACGTCCATACACGTCATTAAAGCAAGATGAATCACTAGAAGTCATCGTAGCTGAGGAAAACGCATCGCCATTACTGACCACAGTACATAGAAAGAAAATCAGTGAGGTAGACGATACATAACCACAGTGTATGTAGTTCAGTAGAGTTTTGTAGAGGATTTTTTTTAGATTTATAAGGAGTTGTGTAGACAAATCAGTGAGCCACAGTATAAAAATAAGTTACCACAGATAATTGCACAATAATACTGGTACTACGCGATACTGTGCGCACAATAAAAACCCTTTCAGAGGTCAAACAATTGTTATACGATGATATAACCTATCACCAGTGATTTTATAGTTTTTTCATATCGCGTTTAAAAAAATGGTATCCCTATATCTATCTCTGACGTATATGAAAACATGATACCATGTCTGTATGTCATGAATGTCAAAAGATTCTTGCAATGTTGAGTTCTTGTATAACTGTTACAATAATGAACCTTCGGCTATTCCGGCCTTTTGCCCATACACTAATAGCACTGTTTGTATTTTTCTCTTATACATTTTTTTTAAACAATGATGTGGAGGGATTGCTGTCCGATATTTGTCTAACTTCAAAATAATTTGCAACATATAGATATGTCTTATAAGATTTCTTAACATGTAAATTTTTGTATCATTTCTAAAATTGATTATAGTAAGTTAAAAATAGTTCCTAGCACCTACAGTACCTATATTTTTAAGTCTAATTATTAAACGTGGTATTTGTTACTATGGTTACGAATTTTATGTGAAAATTGGTAACCATGGTAACACAAATCTTAAAACCGCGTTTATATAAAGCTGTAATGGTCTTATTCATGAACTTATTAGAATTGATTACTTATTATTAATGATTTTGTCCTTATTTTCAGTACTAGATTGGGGGTAAAGAAAAAATATATTTATTTGATATTTTAGTAAGCTTTTGAGTAAGACTGAGGTTCATATTCTAATTCGTATCGAGTCACTATCTCGCCTTAAGCGCTGTCAAATATAAAAAAAATGGTTGTACAGCCACTAGATTTAAATTTGATTAACGTTCTAAAAAAGGGCCGAAGTTTACGGGCATTTTCAACACGCTTCGTGCGTATAGATGGTGAAAATTTTACAAGAAATAGAGATATAGAAATGTTTAGGCGCCTTAATTTAAAAATCTTATAAAGATTACCGCATTTTCTTAACTATAAACTATACAAACAATACTGTCTAATATTAATAGCCTTTCCAATAGTTAATTGAGGGGCGTATAAATAACAATTTTATAATTTACGCCGCGGCCTTTCTCTTATGTACGCGTTAAACCGGGTGCATTAAAATCTCGAATAAATAAAATTTACCCAACCAAAGATTGCAAACAGATTAAATTTAGAAAGCTCTCTGTGTATGTCCTTAATTCATTATTCAATCAAATTGCCAATTTGAATTTAATCTGCAGGCATGACTATTGCTAGTCGAATTTATGTTACAATAGTGGCTAGCATTGCGCTGTGTTTCGTTAATATTTAAGTTACGCCAGTGTATAGTTTTTAATATCTAAGCCAAGCATTTTTGTAAAAGTTCTTAGATTGAAATCTTCGCCGCTAATTTGCCATTTGCAATCAAACGGAAGAAATTATAATCAAGAACACATTTATCATTTAGATATTTAATTGGAATTAAAATGTTAAGCACAATTTTCGTTTATATATTTTCTGTACTATATAAATACCAGTTTGTATTTATCATGTACTTAAATTGTTCTCTCTTATGTGTTTTGTGCAATTGTATTTTTACTATTATAATAAATAGATAAGAATGTTTTAAAATGTGTTTTATATGCCCTTAAGAATAGATTTTGTTACAGTTTTGGAGTTTATTAGATCTTTGTATTATGTTATTGATCTCAGCTAGTTCAATACGTAATTAATAGCTTTAATTGTATAATAGAAAAACTTGCATAGCTGTTTTCTTAAATAAATTTTAACTTCAATACATATTCAATACATATACACTTCTGGACACATCTATTGGCCCACCTTGCATTTTCAGTTTCTTTCGGTCCTACCTAAAAATTTATATTATGTCGAGTAAAAAGTTTTTATGCAGTTTTGAACCTGGCACATTCATAATTGCATTCAATATATTTTTTTTAAATTTCGAACACTGAATTTAAAGAAACAAAAGACAACTTGGAGCCTGCTCATTGATATCAAACAATCGAATACTAAGAAAACTTGATTTTATTGGTTTAGTTGGATTTAATTCTTGAAAGTGTGATTTTTCTCTGGTTTTGCAACAAACATTACTTATTCTTAACATTAAGATGAGGTTCTACCAATAATCTATGGATACTTCGCCTGAAGTCGCCGCCCAAGCTGTGGGACTTATCCGGGCCGGACACAGCCAAAGAAATGTGAGTGATCAACTTAATTTAAGTCGATCTGCGGTCCGAAACGTTTATCGGAGATACCTAGAGACTGGCGGCTTTGTTCGTCGCCAAGGAAGGCCACGATTTCGGGTCACAACTGAAAGGCAGGATCGATTCATCGTGACGACCAGCTTGAGAAATCGTCACCTTACCTCCATTGAGATACAAAACCAACTTCGCGACTTCCATGGAGTAAATGTGAGCGCTCGAACTGTTTGGAGAAGATTAAAAGAACGCGATATGGTAGCACACAAGCCAGCTAATGGACCAAAACTAACGCGAACCCACCGAATAGCGCGCCTTTATGTCGCGCGCTCACACTTAAATTGGACTCAGCAGCATTGGAACGGTGTTCTCTTTTCTGATGAGTCTAAAATTGCGTTACATGGCAATGATGGAAGGAAGAAGATCTACCGACGTAAGGGAGAGCGTTTTGCACAATGCTGCTTTGAAGAGAGGGTTGCTTATGGCTCATGGACGGTATATCCGCGAGCGGCAAAACTCGACTTACGGGACCGCGGCTGCCAACATTAAATGCTGAAAGGTACATTCTTGAGTGCTTAGAACCTCACGTGATGCCATACGCGGACTATGTGGGCCCAAATTTCCTTTTTATGCATGACAATGCAAGAGCCCATACGGCCGGCATCGTCAGAGAATATCTTCGGGATGTGGACATCGCAGTTATGGACTGGCCAGCCAGAAGCCCAGATATGAACCCCATTGAGCACATGTGGGACGAGCTAAAAAGACGTGTTAGGGCTCGTCAGCCAGTTGCCCAGGCGATGCAGGAATTGAAAACTGCCATAGAAGAGGAATGGGAGATGATCCCTCAAAATTTCATAGAGCGGTTGATAAACTCTATGCCTAATCGTATGAGAGCTGTCGTAGATGCCCATGGAGGCAACACGCGTTATTAAATTAAACCTTTATTTGATAAAACACGTTTTTTCTTAAAAAATCAACTGACTTCATAAAGGCACATACCCGACTTGTTAGGCGTATCTCCATGTGGTGTGGTATTCTAAATTCAAATTTTAAACAATACGATCGAAAAAGATGGTAAAATGTATCAGGTTCAAAACTGCATAAAAACTTTTTACTCGACCTAATATAAATTTTTAGGTAGGACCAAAAGAAACTGAAAATGCAAGGTGGGCCAATAGATGTGTCCAGAAGTGTATAATACATAGTGTATACAATTAACCTCAGATGAAACGCCAACAATTACTATAAAGGGAAACTTAGCGTAAGTTTCCATGTAAGTTGGGGCACATTTCAAACCTGAAAAAAATATTATTTATTTGTGAATTGACGAATACCTAATAACTTATAAAAGGAAGTGGTGGAATAAAAAAAAATTACGTAAAAAAATATATATTTAATTTTCAAAAAAACTTAGCACCTTAGTAAACTAACAATAAATGCATTTCTGACTAATATTAACTTTTAAAACTATTTTATAAATACTTATTCTTATGTCATATCTATGAACGTCAAATTATTTTGAAAAAATATTGAATTATGATGCACTTAATGGTGATTTAATGAAAACGAGATTTGAATGATGGTGACTGAAATGATAATTGAAGATGGTAATGAATTTAATGATATGGATAAATGACAATGAAACGGTGATAAGTGAATTTACTTGGTCCTTGGATGATTAATGATGTGATGAATAGTTGAATTGACTTATAGTATAATATATATATATATAGTATTGTAGGCAATGTAAGTAGACACATAATTAAATTTAGTTTATTTAAAAATTATCTTTAAATAGTTTATTTAAAAATTATCTTTAAATGGTGTAAAATACGTACTCGATTGTGTTTTGTCTACGTTTTTGATGGAAAACATTTTTAATGAAATTAAGTTAAATAATGACATGTGATTGATATGATAATGATCTGTGGATGGATTTTTAAATAATCTTAATGTAATACAAATTTTGTTGTCGATTCGACGCAGTTACAGTTTATTTCGAACCCAAGACCCCAAACTAATGAGACTGCATCGAATCAATGCAGATAATTTAAATTAGTAATACCTAACTAATAAGCTTTTAAATAGTCTATTGCCTCACGACGCCTTGGTGAAGGAACATGGGCTTTGAAGCAGTTCTTAACTTTTCAGAGACAACGTGGGCTATTCTTGCACTTCTCTGCCAAACCAATTCACGTGTTCGTTCGTGGTTGCTGTCGACACGGACCTATATTAACAAATGAAAAATTTGTTAAAGGAAGTTAAGATAATACTAATAGGTAATGCTTCGGCTTATTTTCAAAAGGCAGTTAAAGTTTTCATATACAAATATTTAAGTTGTGCGCTGTGTTCCGTCCGATAAACCTAACAATTTTGAAACAATGGTCATAAAATAACAGCTATTTTATAAAATGTTCCGTAATCCAGCAGACATATTTATGCATCTTTATTTAATACAATAGCCATCTATGTCTATATATAGACAAAAAATATAATTATTGTGTCACAGTACACTGGATAACGTTCGAAATTAATAAGTGCAGACCAACCAACGTATAAAAGTTACACATTTGACAAATTTCGCGCCGTTATTACTCTTTAAATTTAATAACGCTTAAATATAGCAATAAGTATAATTAGAAGTATATACCTGTTTGGGCTGCAGAACTTTGATGGAATGTAATGTTGCTACGCCTTGATTGTTGACACGAAGCGTCAATTTACCGTTCATTTCAGCTGTTGTCGCTGTTGCAGATTTGAGCTCTTTTTTAGCACCTCGACCGACCTATTAAACACATTATGACTTTACGATAAGTTATCGTATAAAAAAAGTCGCTTTGGTCTTGGAGAGTTACACCTATTTCATTGGTGACAAATTAGTGATTTGTGGCTTGGTCGTAATGGCATGCCGGTTGCACCAGCAAGCACGTGATCATTCCGCGCATATATTAAACAAATTTAAGAAGAGAAAAATTCATTGGATTTTTTTAAATTCTGAATGAATGACTGGAGTACGAATCTCCACTAGCCTAATACAGCTCATCCCAAGAAATGTGTATGAAATTAAACATTTAACCGGATATATGGATAGCTAAGTCATATGTAAAATGAAATTATTAGCACACTCTAAATCTATCTTTATTCGAATAATATAGTCTAAAGTTTGAATTGCACATACCTCCTTTTCCACTCGTAGTATCAAGGGTCCGACTGCGAAATTACTCTTTATAGTTGTATGATTTGTCATAATGCTGACGGCTACATCACCACTTCTCTTAAGAGAAGACAGGCCATACAATGTACCCTTTGCTCTCGGCTTGCTCTTTTCGCTTTTTACCTTGTTCTTGGAAGGCTTCTTTGTATTTTTTACCGGAGCTTTCGCTGGCGGTTTCGGTTTAGGTTTAGTTGCCTTTGTAGGTTGTTTTGGTTTTGACGTTGGCTTTGCTTTTCCACTTTCATTTCCAGATTTCTCCTTCACAGCTCGCATTTCTGTTCGCGCATTTTCACTGTTCGATTTTTGGTCGTTCAAGCTTTCATCAATTTTGTTTTGTTGTATTTCCTCAACTTTTTCTACTGTTTCGTTTTCGTTTACACCACCACGCGCTGTGTTTTTCTTTTTGTTTGATGTTTTTCTGAAATATTTGTGACGTTATGAAACCAAGTATAGGTTTGAGAACTAACATTAATTTTATTTATACTTACTTTTTGTTACTATTTTTGTTTTTATCTTTCTTTCCCTTTGTGTTTTTGCTCGCATCTATCGGCTGCAGTTTTACGTTGACTGGATCATAGGAACGTCTTAATATATCATTCATTTTTTCAAGGATGTTGTCAATGAACTTATTGTATTTGATTATGTACACAGCAGGCACCGGTGCTGGTTTCTTGGGCGGTTCCTCAGACAACGCACCTGTTAGAGGAGACGAAGATATAGTTTGATTTTTTTAATATTCCAATATTCTTTAAAATATAAAGATACACTTACCTTTTTATTAATAAGCCAGAAGTTTTAAATATATTTAACTAGAATGAATAGATATTAAATGATAGTAATAAACGGCTCTAGTGCCGAAGAGAGTATCACTCTTCAAACTAGGTAAATATTTTATTATTTAGTATTCTAATATTTATATTACACAGAGCTGATTACGTCTTAAACCTACATGTTGTCTTTGAAATTTCTCTTAGATCTCAAGATGGTTAAAGTCATAGATTCCATAAAATGTTTTCTTTTATTCTCCTCATTTTGTTGCTTCATCATAAATTAAAAGTCAGTCAAGGAAAGTACCGATTTGGATAAATTGTTTATTCAGTGTCAAGTCAAATTCAAAGTCATTGTTTTCATAAAGTTACGTATAATAGTGACAACTATCAAATTTCTCTCTCTAAATAAATATATGATAAATTACATTATTCATGACATCACGCACTCGGTTGCAGTGTGTAATTAGGTATTCACTGGGCTAATAATTCATACATTCACACGTGCAATTCAAATCACGTATCGAAGGCACGCGAACAACTAACTGTTTAGTCTTCAAGCCTCGCCTGCATTCTAATAGCTTCTAACAATTAATATGAACAGTCATCCATGGATTTTCTATTTTCTATACACGAAAAAGAAACTGCGTGCCGGAATACTTGCAGTCAAAGAATCTATTTACTTATTAGGAAATGAGCCAATATTTATTTTCCGTCAGCGAATTCAATTGCAGTTTCGCCTTCATTTCAGAATCTGAGCTTTCATATTAGTATTTGAATGCAGTCTGCGTAAGTAGCAGATTTCTATCGAAGAAAGAAAATAGAGACCTCGGACAAGCGAGTCGTTTTAGGCGTAGTCGGTAACAAACTAGTTTAATTTAGGTCGAGTATGACTCCTCGCGACTGTCCCACAATTTCTCAAACAACTTTGTAAAAATTTCTCTTTTCGCATTCCATTATATCGTTTTCACTAAAAGTGGACACGCAAATTTTGTGATCGTTTCGTAATTACGAGAGTGAGTCTGAATCTATTTACTTTCTATTGATGGAAATTCCTTCAGAATTGTCAAGGTCAGGTCCTGGATACGGTCATGGCAAGGTCAAAGAAAGTGTCAAGGCTATAGAAGAAATCGGATGGGTTCATCGAACCAGGTCCGGATGAGAAAGTAACCGGGCCTGATACCCGTTTTCGACCTCATAACACACATCCAGTTCAAGCTGGTTCTTCATTAATATTCTACAAAGAACTCATCCGATAACTGTCAGTCTTCGTCGATCTATCGTTTATCAGATTAAAAATCTAAGTGCTTTCAATTTTATCGCGTAATGAAATCTCAACCATGGGAGGTATGATTATATGATAAATGGGATATGTCACGGGAAAGGGAACCGGTTTGTGCGTAAAATACATAGAAATACATATATCGGTCAAAAAGCTAGTTACTTATATTACTTTTAATATGTACAAATCATACTATGTACTACTATTCTATTAACAGATATATAGATATACGTTGTTAGAAGCATATAAATATTTTAACACAGGCATTTATGGATGAGGAATAAGGAATTTTACATAAATATATTGTTTGACTAGTATATATTTATTTGCTGACAATAATAATTAAATTAACACTAGATAATGTCACTCTTTTCTGACAAAAGTTTACTAGAATTCTGACCGACATAATATCATTAACGAAGTAGTTATTTAACGCACAATCCGCTTGAGAGGTTTTTAAAAAATTTAACACAAATTAAGAACAAACAGTTTTATTTCAAAATACTTTGCCACGGATCTGATGTGACATGATCTAGACATTAATTTAACTTTTATTTTCTCGGGTCCATACTAACACTCACACATCAAGCACACGCACTTAATAAATAAAATAAATTAAATAGAATAAATAAATAGTTAATAAATAGCTAAGCTAAAGGAGGGAGACCCCGGAGGTCTCTCAGGTGGATGCGGGAACCAGGCTTGCCCGTTCACTGGCGCATTATAACTATCTGAACTTTTTGTGTTCTGGGACTGATGCAGCCGACGTTGCTTTGGTTTTCTTTACTTTAATGTGACTTGTTTTTTTTCCACTCTTTTTTTTGAGCGCCGCAACATTAGCCTTTAATTTTTTAGACTCACGTGATTGTTTGGCAGAAATATTCCTGCTAAAAGCGTCGGAAACGTCGTCTTCGTCGTCATCATCATCATCTTCCTCCTCGTCATCATCTTCTTCATCATCATCCCCTTCGAGTACGTCTCCAATTTCCTCGTCATCATCATCGTCATCGTCGGCTGCAGCCACTTCGGAGCTAGCCGCGGGAATTTCAACTTCAGCACTTGCAGGTTCCTTTTGCCCAGCTTCAGGTTCGTCACCCTCTGCCACAGCTTCGCCCTCTGCTGCTTCGGTTTCTTCTGAAGCGGCAGCAACTTCTTCTACTGAGGCGGCTGATGCAGCTGGTGCAGGAGCGGCAGCAACAGTATCGACGGCAGCCACAACAGGCTGTGCGGCGGCTGGTTCGTCTTCATCCTCGTCATCTTCACCTCCTGAAATATAAAAGATACGTTAGCTTTGACTAAGAAAAATCGTATGACAAAAGAGAAGAATTTAAATCTATGGACCTCCTAATATGTCGTCGAAGAATCTTTCCAAATAATCATCATCTTCGTCATCATCTGCTTCTTCCTCATCATCATCATCGTCCTCGTCTTCATCTTCGTCGTCTTCGCCTAAAACAGAGAGTTAATAATTAAACATTTGTGTATGAAAAAGATATTTGTTATTTAATTAAATTAGACTAATTGTCGAACTATTAAAAATAATCGATATATTTATCGATACTGCAATTATACGTTGTAATCTCAATTATTATAACCTTGCGTGATGCACTAACTTATGAATCTCTACAAGAAAGCTAAGTAGCGCTAATTTCTCTGATTATGTATTTCTTCTAGAATCGATTAACTAACGAGAGCAGTTGTCACGCTGCACGATTCACATTCCGTTCGTTCGCGTCCTGATTAATAGGAATTCGTATTGATAGACCGCCACACTTTCTATATTTTATATTAATATTCAATATTGTAACATCATTTCCCAAATTGATTGTTGTAATCTCGTATCGAAAATGAAGTAATTTTTTAATTAAAGTCCGTATTTTAAAATATATAGCCAATAAAAACTAACAAGTTTTTAGTTTACCGTATAAGTGACTATAACGATTTACCATAAATCAAAGTTATGAGTAAAAATTTGAATTGATGAATATAATCGTAAAGTTCAATTCCAATGCTTAAAACTCTTTTAATTTCCTATAGAATATATATGAATATACGTAATAACTTCAGTCAATCTACCGTAACGGTGAATTTACTTGAAAACGGTAAATCCTACGCGCTAAAAGATTTATTTACACTACCATGACACCAAAAGACAGAAATAAGTTGTAATACTTTACTGTAGAAATGTATACGTTTAAATTTTTTTGCTTATATATTATTATTAGATTTAGATATTTAACAATTACCTCCTAAACCACCAAGAGCATCTTCATCGTCATCGTCGTCGTCATCATCATCATCATCAGAAGCCGCGGCAGCCGCAGGCTGCTGTGCCGCCTGTCTTCCTACCTCCTTCACCTCACCATCCTCAGACCTGGTGATAGGATTACAGCTCCCCAAAATCACTAAGCAGCAAACCGCCGCTAATAACAATAACGACCTCATCTCGTATCTGAAACAAACAAGGCCTTTAATCATCACCGCCAAGTTGGCCAAGCCGTCTAGGATCACGATATCACAGCACTAACACAACACCACGTGCACTGGATGTCCTTAACACTTCACCTTTTGACTTTTCACTGTTGAGTCCTAGGGGGCTCTGCGGAAGAGGTTCCGCCCGCGTCCTTCAAAGTCGGGGGTCGAGACGCTATGGCCGAGCCTGGCGTGCGGAAACGATATAGCGGCGGCGTCTTCCACGCGCACTCTTTTATACAGTTACGTCACACAGCTCAGGAAGAAAGTAGTGATGGTAGTCGAACGGACATAGATAAACTGACCTGTAGACTTTCTCTGAGCAATTCTCAGATGTATCGTGAATAATATGAACTTTTTAAGTATTTTATAACGATCGTAAAACAATATATTTTGTTATTTTATTACTACATTATTATATTAACTGCCAGTATTTAAGCGGGGAAAGTTTGTGTCGTTCTGCGTACAAAAATATGTGACGTTATATTTTATACCGAGCGGCGGGTCTGTGTCGCAAACTAATCTATTCGATGTAAAGAGGGGTTGGTGATGTTCGATTAACTAATTTATTCAACTTATTTGCTGACGCTAGGTGCTTCACTGGAGAAAAGTATGGGCAAGCGTGTGGAATCGGAATTTTAAAATATTTCAAACATTAGTATGTGGTGACCAGAGCCATACTTTCACTTAAGGTTATGTATGCAAACGCGTCTGGTGTAATTGATAAGGTGACGTAAAAAATAATGTCCCATCGAAGGCATATTGCCACCAAGTATTTTAGTATTTATTATAAACAACGAACGCTATTAAATATTTACTCTTATACCTTGAACTTTTTCGTATTCACATGATTGTAAGACGAGATTATATTGTATTCTTAGATAGAACATTTTATCACAAACCATTTCAAGGCAATAATATAATGATAGCAACGCAACTTTTCTCCTATGAACCTCAATCATAGACGAATTAGTAAAAGTGGCTTGTTTTTCGTCGAAAACTAAGAGGTTTTATTGAACGGATTTATTCCGTATATATTCATTACCGTACTCTTCTTCGGAGAAATATTTTTTCTTAATTCTCTAGAAATTAAAACCATAAATTTGTCTATGGCAGGTCACAGATTACAGGAATCTTATTAATTCAACGTAAGTATTTTGTCTCTTACATACGTCTTAGGGACTTTAATTGACTTACAGAGCTGTACTTCAATTTATACACTTACGTAACCAATACGTTTCTGTACTTTGTCCAATACTTTGGTTTCAGATATGCCTTTAGATGTCTAAAAATTCTTTTGAAATTTATACAGGTTAATATCAAAGCGAGAAAGGTCTAAACCCGTTTTTGGTATTGAAGCGGTCACAAATATTTGTATGCTGTTTGTGAATGGGCTTCGAGGACTTTCACCACTCCACTGCCACTTGCGTCCGATGCGATTATAAATATTTTGTCCCACTTTGCGTAACGAATAATGACTTATGTGTTCTTTGGTATTACTTAACTTTACAATACGTTTTAAGCTACGCCCTAAATAGAAGAAAAACGTTCTCGCTTGCTTGAGATGCGCGGTTATCGACTTTGAGACAAAGTTCGTTTTCTATAGAAATATTTAATGGTTAGTTATGATCAGATATGCGCACATGTTTTGTTAGCGTACTTTACTTTACGTGGGTAATAAACGTAATCATAGTCGAGACTTAGTGTGAAATACAACTTCGGTATGTTATACAATGCGTTTTTGAAATACGGGATAATAATATCGATACTGAATGTTACTTACTAAGCTGAGATGTTAAAGTAAGATACTAATCAAAATATCAATTCTGTTTTAGAGATCTGATCTTAGATGCTTTTGATAAAAACGTCATGTCAAGTATAAATCTACATCCTAGGTTGTCAGGAAGAGATTGCTTATTAGGGCTTTCTCTCACATTTATTTTCTTAAATTACACTGTATTGCCAAAAAAATTACTACATTAAAGATTTGACCTGAAACCTAAATTTGTTATATAGATATACGTTATATTCTTTTGTTTGTCAGATCTTTAATGTTACGCAAATTCTATAATTATATAGCTTTTCATTAGGTACATAAAAGCTGTATTTACAATGTTAGAACGGCTATCAAAAACCGATAAAACGATAGAAACGAAAACCTGTCTATCGAGGGTCAATGTTTGCAATTACGATCGGCGAAGATTTCGAGAAATTTAACTTTTACTCAAATATTCGGCTTAATGTTATTCAATTTCGCCAACTATTTGCCATAAAATTAATTTACAAAATAGAAAGTTATACAATGTGTAAAGTTCCGTTGACGTTATGTAATCATTTTCGAAGGATATAGTGTGAACTTTTTGACGCTTTTCATAATTATAAGTAAGAGCTTTTTAAAATATATATTATTTGTGTGTCTCAAAATTAATTTTAGAATAATTAATTAGCTACAAGGTTTATTATTTATGTTTATTATTTGTAGAGCAAGGCTTTAATATTATATAGAGTAGTAAAAAAAAGAGTTATTGCTGCAAATACGATATCCATATGGAGTAAAGGCTCTTGGGTCATAAATATATTACATAAATTAATTAAAGAAGAGTACAAGACATACGTACAAAGGCTACCGAACGCATTCCTCGCACTGCGTATTATCATTATGTTTCAGTAAGGAAATACTGCTCTACAATAAGAACTCTGTCTTTTCAACAACTATGGTTGATATGTCATATCTTAGCTGCCTTCTTCAGACTAAACCTCCACTGAGTGTTATCCTGGGAACACCGTGGCTTATTTGCTGTGAATTAAATAAAGTATCACGGACCAAATAATCCATTTATATCGTCAAGTATAAAAAACCTCAACATTTTATTATAAGCTACTTTTCAAGTGCAGTGTTGGCCAAGTGGTTTCAGCGTGCGACTCCCCTGAGGTCGTAGGTTCGATCCCCGGATGTGCACCGATGGACTTACTTTCTATATGCGCATTTAATATTCGCTCGAACGTTGAAGGAAAACATCGTGAGGAAACCGGCTTGCCTTAGACCCAAAAAGTCGACGGCGTGTGTCAGGCACAGGAGGCTAATCACCTACTTGCCTAATAGTTGACAAATGATCATGAAACAGATACAGAAATCTGAGGCCCAGACCTGCAGAGGTTGTACCGCCACAAATTTTTTATTTTTTTTTAAGTAGGTTAAATATATTGTAATTATTGTATACATTGTTCAAATAATTACTTAAGTAATAATACGTAATCAACGCATTTTATAATTAATAACTTTGATAATTACGAATTATCATAATTAAACTTATAAAGAGTTTTGTATAAATTGACAATTACAATTCGTATTAATTACATTAAATATGAGTTGATTAAAACTTGTAATTAAAATAATAAAAGCCTGTCAAATATTTCGTTGATTTTTTATGTTAGAACGGAGAAGTAATTCGTAGTTAATCATAAAAGCCTTTTTATTAAGTACGATTAAATAATTATTCTGATTTTTACCGCTGATTTATGTAGTGGCTAGACATGAACTAGCTATGGCTACAGGCTAGCCACCACATCAGATCCTGGTATCCCGGCATTTCCAGGATGACGTTTGAAATAATTAGTAGTAAAGTGAAGTAATAAGTAATTAGAACCTGTGTAAAATATTCTATATTTATTTATGTAACGGGAGGCAAACAGGCAGTCTCATCTGATGTTAAACCGCCCACGGACACTCACAAGGCTCGCAAAGGAGTTGCCGGCCTTTTAAAAACTGGTGCGCTCTTTTCATGAGGGACCTTAAGTCGAATTCGTTATTATAATTGTTTGGCTTGTTTGCTTCGAATAAATAAAAGGAAAACAGAATTGTTATCAAAGTTAATGAGACAGACGCAGAAATATGTCTACCCTGTTGGGTCTATAAGTTACAGACTACGCATTAATTCAGATTTTTATTATTACTTCAAAAGGATTTTTTTTGTTAATTTATTTTCTCTCTATTTTAAATAAGTTTTTGTTTCGGATTTAATTGTTATCCAGCATATTTACTGTTCTAAACATTCTGGTATTATTACTTTAATGACGCATATTCATTAATAAAATTGTTATTTTCCAAGAAATTTGTGTTGTAATTGAGTTCCGACTCAGATCGTGACCTACATTATTTGTTTTTATTAATTTTCCTCAAATGTAAATGTTATGTTTGCACATTCAATTCTGGAAACAAAAAAATATTCGATTTATTTATTTAAAATTTATCGTTTATATTATAAAAAAGTCTTCATTGCGCAAGCGCACTTCAGAGTATCATTGTTTCTATTATCACAGTTTATCTCTTAAGCTATTTCTGTTCGATCTTACGTTTACATATCTTATTGCTCAATAGATATTAATGTCAACAACCTTCCGTATGCTACTTTAGTATCATTATAATTTTAATTAGATGCTTCAATTTTCTGGTTAGTTACCTCTTAAGTGCGTAACTGCTGTCATGAAATAGTTGTTATCTAGTTTAATTAGTAAATAGAAATTATAAAGTAGAGATACAATAAAATAGCCATATCATATATACGATATTTATCTTCATCAATGTCAAACAATTGTTTAACCTAGACGAATAAATATATTTCGACTTCGACATCCGTTTGACTTCACAAAACTGTGCTTTTCAAGAGAATAAATTTTCAAAATCGCCACGTATATTGTTTCATTATTACAATGAACTTTCGTTTATTATATTTCCCTTCTATAATCCTTATGATGTTTGATTAATAGAAATTAAACAGCCACAACTAAAATACGTAAATGAAACCAGCCCTGCCAATCTCGAGGTTCTACGCTTTCTTTTCATTTATTTGTCTTTAATGGCTATTAGAAAGCTTGTTTAAGACGAGTCCGCTCTAAATTCTACTACAGATTATCTTAAACTTTAGTCTATAATTATCGGATATTAGTGACTTAACCATTAAGTATTATATTTC